ATAACTAAAAGATTGCCCCGAGAGGGCCCACGAGCTCACCAGAACGCCCCCCCCCCTCCTCCTCCCCAGAGAGGCACAACATATAGACATGAGCCTTGTTATTTCAAGCCAGCGGTGTAATCTAGCCCCCCTTGCGCCCCCTTGGGGGCCCCTTGGTGCTCGCCCATCTGTGGCATATTAGATGAAAAGACACAGAGGGTGTCCAATGGGGGCCCCGAGAGGGCCCTGCGAGGTGTCGCGCTCAACGCCCTTGAAAGCGACGCCTCCAAAGGTTCGGCGCCGTCGTCGTCGTCGTCCCCGCCGTCGTCACCAACATCGTCGTCGGCATCGCCCCCGCCATCGACGTCGTCGCCATCGGCATTCTGCCAACTCGCCACTTGCGTCGTCAGTAGCTTCGCCGCCGTCTTCCCCCGAATCACCACCGCATCCTCGTCGGCACAGCCATGGCCCCTATCGCCAACATAATCGCGATTGCGATCGCCACCGTCCTCGTCGGCATCGCCGTCGGCATCGCCAGCGTCATCTTCATCAGCACAACAACCGTCACAGTCATTGCCATCATCTGCATCATCATAATCATCGCCATCGGCGTGGTCGTCGACGTCCTACAGCCTCGTCATCTGCGTCGTCATCGTCATAGTCACCCTCCTCCTCCTCCTCATGACTTCACTCTCGTCATCGTCGTCGCAAGCCTCGTCATCGTCGTCGTCGTCATCGGCGCCGTGCTCGTCGTCGCCGTTCTTTCCGTCGCCATCATCGTTCTCGTCGTTATAGTCGCAATCGTCAGCGTCGCCGCCGCCGTCGCAGTCATGGCCATCCGCCTCCTCCTCCTCTGCCTCATCATCATCATTAACGCAGTTGCCACCGTCGTCACCATCAACGCAACCACCACAATCACTATCACATGGACCATCCATGCGCATCATCATAGCCACCGTCGTCGTTGCCATCGTCGTCCGACCAGCTCGCCACCTTCGCCGCCGTCGTCTTCCTCCTACTCCTGCCCATCCTCCTCGCCCCCTCCCCTCCCGTGCCCCTCCAACCTCCGCCTCCCGAGCGGCCCGCCCAGTGCGCGCGGGGGCAGCCTCTTATGTTAACTAGGCGCTGAAAGGGCACCTGCAATGAAGCCCCAGACGCCCCGCGTCGTCTCCAGGACATCCGACGCCCGAGCTAGGCAGAGCCCAGCGAACCTCCACTGCGCCCCCGCAAGGCCACCAGAAGGCGCCCAAGAGAGGCCCAGTAGAGGGACAATGCGAGCTTAGGTGCCCCGACGTCGTTGTCGTCATCGTCGGCGTCGTCACCGTCGTCATTGGCGCCCCGATCATCGTCATCATCTTTGCCTCCATCATCGCCATCATCGCCAGCACCGCCATCATCATTGTCGCTGTCGCCATTGTCATCACCACCAGCATCAGCACCGCCATCGTCGTCGTCATCGTCTTCCTGTCGAATTGTCACGGTCGTCATGCTGCGGTCACGTGGGCGGGACTGCAGGCGCCGCGCCCCGTGGGAAACCCGAAAGGGGACATGTGATGCAACACTAAGTTTGCCAAGCATTTCCCCCGTGTCATCGTCGACGTCATCGTGATTGTCGTCGCCGCCGTTGTCGCTATCATCGTCGTCGCAATCGTCAACGTCACCATCGCCATCATCACCATCATCATCCGTATCATCACCATTATCATCTTAACCATCGGCGTCGTCATCGTCGTCTTGCCAATTCGTCCTTTGCCTCGTCATCGTCATCACTTCCCTCCTCCCCATCACCGCGTCATCTTAGTCGTCGTCGTCATCGTCCTAGCCCCTAGCCGCCGCCATCGCTGTTAGCATCGTCGTCGTCATCGTCAGTATCGCCGTCTCCATCGCCAAGCTCAAAGTCATGCTCGTCATCATCATCTGCATCATCGCCGTCGTCGCAGCCTTCCGTGCCATCATCGTCGTAATCGTCACCAACACCATCATCATTACCATCGGCATCGCCGCCACCGTCCTCGTCAGCACCGTCGTCGGCATCGTCATCGTCATCCTCGTTAGCATCAGCATCATCATTATCATCACCACCATGACCATCATCATCGTCGTCGCCGTCACCACCACCATCGCCCTCGCCATCGCCACCACCATCACCATCACTGCCGTCGCCATCGTCGCCATCGTCGCCACGGCCAGCATCATCGTCATCGCCGTCGCCATCGTCGCCATCGTCATCTCGAACTGGGGTATTGACGAAGGTAGACGATCGACGTCTCGCTTTTTGCGGTACGACAGAGGCCAGATGGAAATTCTGTACAACAAGCTTGTTTTGTACAGAATTTCCCGTTTGAGAGTTTTCCACGGTGAGGTGCGCCTGCAACCCCATTCAGGTTAATGGCAGCATGGCGTATTTGTGCGAAGCGTGTTGGTAGGATCAGACTCAAACGTGCGGCAGTCCGGCGAATATCGGTTGAACTGCGTGTGACTAGGGACTAGGGACTAGGTGTAACTGGGTGTAACTTGTAACTATGTGTAACTGGGTGTAACTGGGCGGAGCAGTGTGCAACTGGGTGAAACTGGGTGCAACTATGCGTTACTACTGTGTGCAACTGAGTGTAACTGTGTGTAGCTGGGTGAAGCTGGTTGTAATTGGGTGTAACTAGGTCTGTCTAGCATCTAGTCATCTAGTCGGAAGCGCTCTCCTGGCCTTCGCTGTGGCGCTCGTTGCCCGCACGCTGGTGGGCCCCGCGAGTCCCGAGGCAGCGGGGCACTCGAGAGTAGCGTCGCAGTCGCACCGCACGTAGACGAATATTATTGGAGACTAGGGCCCCGAGTGACCCCCGAGATTGGGCCCCGAGTGACCCCCGCACATGGTCTGGTCATAATCGCTCCAAGTGGCTGCCATGACGGGTACTTGTTCGTCTTACTTTTGCATTCGCTGCTGCGCTGTATCAAGGGAAAGATGCTCTTTTTTTTCGACGCCTTCACAGCAGCCCATGGCCACGGGGCGCAAGTCCCAGGCGCCGGCCCGAGGGCCCTCGACCGCCGGCCGCGGCGCTGCGAGAGGCGGCCGCGGCAGGTCGCGGCAGGGCCGCGGGAGGGGCAGCGGCGCGGTCAGCACTTGCGATCTGTGCCAGCGCACCGACAGGGACTGAGGGCCAACAAGCACTACACGCTTCTCATCCGTGTCCCTGTGTCCTGGCACCCTGGACCGCTGGCCCCCCGTTGGCTGCGTCTGTCGTGGTCCGAACAATGTTGCGGTGAGGCGTTCGGGGTTTCAAGGGCCGAATGCTCTTTGTAATCCTAGGCGCACCGCTTTTGGGCATGAGTTTGAAACGGCCCCGCTTTGAGGCTCCGAGCGGGGTGAACGATAGAGGCGTTCGGGTTCAGAGGGTTGTCGCGTTGTTTTTCACCTAGGACACAGGGATTGTCCAGAACGGCTGTGAGCTGGCCGCGCACCTGGAGGAGGGGGAGGTGGCTTGCGTCGACTGCCTGACGTGGCTCCTGGAGAACGCACCTGTGCTGTCCTGGTCAGGGTTGGTCGCAGCTCAAGAGGCAGGGCAGTTGCGGGATTTATGTCAGCAGGGTGAGACGCCAGCTCAGAAGCAACCAACGAGGACGCCTCCCAGGACGCTCAACCTAGGCGACTCCGTCGACTGCGGCTTCGAGCTCTACGTGAAGTGCGCTGCGCTGACGGCCAAAGACGTGGAGCGGGAGTTCGGGAGAACGGCAAAAACACTACACATCAAACCAGTTGAGATTCCATCTCGGCCGACCTCGTTTACTGTCTACTTGGTGAAGGCCTGCCCCGAGTCGAGAGGCAAGTATCCAACATTCAAGCTGTACCACCGCAGTAGCACCGTGGCCAGCGTCGGCTTCCTCAAGCGAGATGCCCAAGAGCTGTTCGAGAACCAGTCTACCGTGTTGTTTGGTGCTACTACTGCGGGCCAGGGTGGCGAGATCAACCTCGACCTCACGCCTGGCGCGCGCTCGTCCATCGCGACGTGGGCCGAGGTGCGGGACCGCGCTGACAAGATAGCGGAGAAGAACGCCAAGAGGACCCGCGCTGGATCGAAGATCGGCGAGCAGGACGACGACGACGGAGGGGGCGATGACATCGAGGTGCTTGACTTTGAGGATGCGGCCTCGAGCAGCGTGCATCCCTTCGACCCAGATGCCGCGGCTGAGTGCACTGGGGCCGCTTCCTCCAGAGCCGACTCCATCGATCATCAGCCTGGCAGCGCAGTGAAGAGGCAGCCGTCAATGTCGCCACGTGACATGGGTGGTAAGCCTTTGAAATCTTCAAGGACGGCCGCGGCGCCCACCGACAGTTACGAGCCCGAGAGGCAGAACCCGCACACGCTCGGCACAGTGGACTACTGGGTCTGGGAGCTGGCGTTCGAGAGGGCCTTCAACGGCCATAAGAATGTGAGAGCCGAGAACCAAGCTAGACAACTCGTCCAGAAGCTCACGGGCACGGAGCGCCGCACGCTGCAGACCCACCTGGAGCTCTACAACAAGGCGAAGCTGTTCGACGAGAAGGCTGTGGCGAAGGTGCCAGACGGGGAGCTGATGGCCTCATGGGAAGTCCTACGAAAAGCAGGCGCCACGCTCACGCAACGGGCTGTGAAGGCATTGGCCAGGAGGACTGCCATGAACGCTTGGCAGGACATCAACAAGGCCGACCTGGACACGGACAAGATGAAGCAGTTGCTGGTCGGTTTCATGGAGCGGTGTCGGCCGTGGGGCTTCACCGCCAAACCTCGGGATGCGGCGAACCCGTGTGCAGTGTGCTTGGTCGATGGGTGCACGTCCGACGCCGACGTCGCGAACACCTTCCTGGAGATCGCCGTCGCAGACACCCTCGCAGAGTGGCTCACGGCAGGCCCCAGCGCGGCTGACAACGTCAAGCTCTACTGCGAGGCAGCGGACCTCGTCCTCGCATCATTGCCCGAAGACGCGGAGCTCGGCGACCACTCAGCTTCAGTTTACCTCGAGATGACTTCGGCGATCCGAGTGCTGACAGCGATGCAGGCGACGTCCTTGACAGCGGGCACTGACATGCAGGTGTACGTGGACGCAGGGCGCTTGGAAGCTGAGGGCCGACGCACCACTGGACAGCAGAGCGTGCATCAGCTCGTGGGCCAGGCGCTCCTGACGAGCGCCAACGACTTCTGGGCTAAGAAGTTGAAGTGGATGACGGAGCACGCAGATGCAGTCACGAAGAACGGCGGCCATGTGAAGTCGGCCATCGCCGAGCTGGAGCGGATGGACGCTAACCCGTCGGAGCAGCGTGCCAAGCTGCTCAAGCGCATCGTGGACGACGTACCGTACTGGGAGGCCGCCATGTACACGGGCTGCGCTGACGAGTGCAAGGCCATGGTCCTCAACAGGTCCATTTTGCAGTGCAAGGCGCTCACTTCTGATGGCGAGGTTCGGGGGTGGTGCAATACGCCCACTTGCACTCCTATGTCCAACCCCCGTCGGTGTGTCTAAGGGGTACCAGTAGCTAGGACTAGCGACTACTGACTAACAGCTAGTAGTGCACACCGATAGGGTTGGACGTGGGAGCGCAGGTGGGCCCATTGCCCCACCCCGTAGGGCAACGGCGACATCGGCACGGAGGGCGGCGCCCAGACGACGGCGGTGACGATCGCTTACAAGGAGTTGTTCAAGGACTTGTCCAACGTGTTCGCGGCGGACGAGCAAGTGGAGCGCTGCTCCCGTGCGCTCCAGTCCAAGATAGCGGCCATGGACCTCGGCGTGAAGCACGAGATGTTAGCAGATGCGTTGGCCACGTGGAATGATGGTGATAAGGAGTTGACTCACCGTCTGAAGGATGCGTTACACAGCTGTCGCATGAAGGCCCTGCCCGAGAAGCTGCAGGAGTCGTGCAACTCGTTGTTCACCTCCATCATTGTCGACCTCTTCAAGGGCGGGGCCGACTGGACTACGAAAGAAGGCTTCCTGTTTGAAGTCTTGGAGCTCTTAGCGCCGAACGTGCCGCGTTCATCGGTGGATGCTTCAACGGGTGTGGCAGCGTGGCTGGGCGCTGCTTGGCGCGTGGCGCGCGTCCAGACAACGCTCGCGCAGGCGGAGCACCACGTGGAGGAGGGTTTGCAGGATGCTACGCCTGCCGACGTCGAGCGCCACGCCAGGGAGTTGACTCGGGCCGTCCAGAAAGCGAACCACAACGCCCGCAGCACTGCCCTTGAGAAATTTCACGTTGGCGCTTCGCTGCAGGTGGCTGACGCCGTGAACTCTGCGAGCGACCTTGTCCAGAGGGTCGGGGCGAAGATCGTCGGCGCCCTGTGCGAGAAGACAAGGCTGGACTTCACGAACCTGAAGAAGAGCGCTGAGGAGGCGGCTGGCGTCGCTGAGTTCAAGAAGGAGTGCGACAACTGTACGACTCTCAATGCCGCGCTCGACCTCTACCGCCTCGGTCTGCACGAGGCGCCCGTCAACGAGTGGCTCGGCCAGACGTGCACCATCGAGGGGGCCTTGACGACAGTGGCGGGCAAGGCGACAGAGTACTCGCTGCCAAGCTACTCCACCGAGGCGACCGCAGGCATCACCGAGGAGATCGTGGTCATCCGCGCGCTCTGCATGAGCGCAGAGCTCCTGAAGGCGTTCGGCACGGAGTCGCTCCAAGGTAACAAGATAGCCATGCGCAACAGCTGCATGAATACCCAGTCCAAGCTCAGGAAGTTCGGCATCCAGCCTGAGTCACTGCCGCGCGTCGTGGTGTCGCGGTACAGGGATGCGCTCAAGATGCGGTGATCGAGTACTGAATCAGTTTGCCTTCGACCCTGCTGAACTTTTGTGGGTACCAGGGCCTGCGACGACAGGCCCGCGCCCCCGCAGCGTGGCGACCAGCGCTGCGTCACGGGCCCGCCCACGATGGGGCGCGGTCGCGCACGGCCGCGGCGCGGGGCCGCGTGCCGAAGGGTGAGACAGGATCTGTGGATGTAACACTGCCTGCGCCAGTGTTGGGAAATAGTATCCGTGATTTGTTCGTCCCCCCCTGTCTCGAGGAAGGGGGGCGTTGCCCCTGAGGTCTGCCTGATCAGGTGCGGTGCGCGAGAATGTCTATTCATATGTATGTTCTTGATGGTTACACAGCATGCCCGTGCCTCCCATTGTGTGTCCTTCGTATTCGTGGGCTGTCGCCCTTCTCCGCCTGCCCCACACCCAAGGGTCTTGGAGCAATGGGTCGGCGTTCGGCGTCGGATTGGCCACTTGCAGGTGGTTTCTGTTGATCTGTATGGGGCGCGGCCGATTCAGGACTCGGATCTTGGAGCCCACTGTGTTTCGTTAAGGGCCTCGGTCTTGGGGCCCCGCGCTGGATTTGCACTTCGGCGCGGGGCACTGGGTGACGGGCCTCGGCGTGAAAAGCCGCGGCCAGTATCTCAATGGGGGATTCCTTGCGGACTCTGGTAGCGTGATTTGGGCATCGGGGATTGGTGTACAGGTTTTCTCTGGGGTTGCAGCCCGCGGACGATACGGTGTCAGGGCTTCGGCTCTGTGGGGCCAGTGTTTTTGCTGTCACTTCGGGCCTCTGGGCTCTGGGCCCCTCTTGAAAGACTAGATCGGTTTAGTCTATTTCTTGTTTTCCGAAATCCTCCAGCGCAAGATCCCACCGTGCACGATTGCTCCCGTTTGGGGAGGTGTTTCGGTAACACCTGGAACAATAACACAAACACATTCGAAGTGGCCTTATCCACTTCTTACGATTACTGCTGCACTCTGCCCCGAAAAGGTTCATCGCTCGCACAATGCGTGGGGCGATTGGAAAAAAACATTGGTTTTATGATGTATGTTTAGACTATTTTCTGAGTATTCAGCATAGGCGTTCCCCCCCCCCCCCACCCCCCCCCCCCCCCCCCCCCCCCCTCCCCCCCCCCTCCTAGTATTTTAGAGTATTTTCATATAGTTATTGTTTTGCAGACTGTAGCGGTCACGGGTAATATAAACCTAGCCTACGCAATATCGACTACACCGTATAGCTTACTCCGCTGATCTTGCACCACTAGCAATGCAAACAGAAGCAACTAGCACTGCCCGCCTCGGCGTCGACGCCACTAGCAGTGCAAACAGAAGCGCGCGCATCGCCGCCATTACCGAAGATCCCAACAGCAGCAGCAGTATCAAGCTGTCGCGGAACTCCCAGGAGGCGCTGCACGGCGCCGCGCGCCCAAGAAACTTCAGTGTGAACGACAACAGCTACCATGCACCGGCTCGCGCTCAGTGCGATGTTCGGCTTGGCTTTCCGTGGGGTCTACGTTGCAGCGACTCCGAAGGCCCGCCGTTTAGGGCGCGGCGCTGATGCGTGCAAAAAAAAAAAAAAAAAAAAAATAAAAAAAAAAAAAAAAAAAAAAAAAAAAATAAAAAAAAAAAAAAAAAAAAAAAACAAAAAAAAAAAAAAAAAAAACAAAAAAAAAAAAAAAAAAAAAAAAAAAAAAAAAAAAAAAAAAAAAAAAAAAAAAAAAAATAAAAAAAAAAAAAAAAAAAAAAAATAAAAAAAAAAAAAAAAAAAAAAAAAAAAAAAAAAAAAAAAAAAAAAAAAAAAAAAAAAAAAAAAAAAAAAAAAAAAAAAAAAAAAAAAAAAAAAAATAAAAAAAAACAAAAAAAAAAAAAAAAAAAAAAAAAAAAAAAAAAAAAAAAAAAAAAAAAAAAAAAAAAAAAAACAAAAAAACAAGCCCCCGCATTGACAAAAGGAGAGATTCGGACTATATACCGGATCATGGAGAACCAAGACCCATTCCCCGAGCAGGCAGTGCGGCGGGCAACGCCGCTCATGCGGGCTGTGGCCTCGGCACTTGGCAAAGCGACCTCTCTGCGCGCGTCGTGCGTGCACGTGCGCCTCATGATTCTGGTGGCCACAACTCTCGGGGCAGTTCAGCTCAAGTACGGTGGAATCTTATCCCGACAATGCAATCTGCTCATGATCCAGCATGGCCCACCTGGGGATGGAAAGTCGGTTGCACTGTGGTTCGACGTGCAAGTGCTGGCCTTCTTCGACATGATACGGGAGAGGCGAGCCAAGAAAAAGTACGACGAGGCCGAGCAGAAACACAAAGAGGACCGAGAGAACAACCCACAGCCGGCGAAAAAAGAACATGCTAAAGACACCATCTTCAACAAACGGACGTTCATCGGCCTCGGGAACTTCATGCAGGCGCAAGGGGGGACCGCATTTCTTGCGCTACACGAGGGGAAACCATGGCTACCCCAGACCGTAGACAGCGGCCCAGGCGGCGGCATCGACGACCTCAACCAAATTCACGATCATGAAATGTACAAGAACCATCCTGGGAATACCCAGGATCGTTTTCTCGTACGAAACCCGCTATGGTGCGGAGCGGTCATGATGCACGTACGACCAGGCGCAGAAGCCCGACACCACCGCGGGCATTATGCGTTTCTTGATCGGACATTTCTCAGCCGTTCTCACCATGGAAGAGTTGCGGCAGATTGTGCCGGAAGCTCACGAGGACACGGTGGGGGGTGATCATTCTGTTGCAGACAGGCCCCCCTTCGAATGCCAATCCTGCCCGCGTCGCCGGATCGCCGGGTCGCCGGGTCTCCGGGATGCCGGGGCGCCGGGACGCCAGGTCGCCGGGTCGCCGGGACGCCGGGTCGCCGGGTCGCCTGGTCGCCGGGTCGCCGGGTCGCCGGGATGCCAAGTCTCCGGGACGCCGGGTCGCGGGGTTGCCGCGGCCGCGGGTCGCCGGGTCGCCGGGTCGCCGGGTCGCCGGGTCGCCGGGTCGCCGGGTCGCCGGGTCGCCGGGTCGCCGGATCGCCGGGTTGCCGGCTCGCCGGCTCGCCGGCTCGCCGGCTCGCCGGCTCGCCGGGTCGCCGGGTCGCCGGGTCGCAGGTCGCCGGTGGCCGGATCGCCGGATCGCCGGGTCGCCGGGTCGCTGGGTTGCGGGTTTGCCGGGATGCCGGGTTGCCGGGTCGCCAGGTCGCCGGCTCGCCGGGTTGCTGTGTGGCCGCGTCGCCGGGTCGCTGGGTCGCCAGGTCGCCGGGTCGCGGGGTCGCCGGGTCGCCGATGCCGGGTCTGGGTCGCCGGGTCGCTGGGTCGCCGGGTCGCCGGGTCGCCGGGTCGCTGGGTCGCCGGGTCGCCGGCGGGTCGCCGGGTCGCCGGATCGCCGGGTCGCCGGGTCGCCGGGTCGCCGGGTCGCCGATGCCGGGTCGCGTCGCCGGGTCGTTGGGTCGCCGGGATGCCGGGTCGCCCGACGTCGCCGGGTCGCCGGGTCGCCGGGTCGCCAGGACGCCGGGTCGCCGGGTCGCCGGGTCGCCGGGTCGCCGGGCCCCCGGGCCGCCCGATGCCAGTCGGGGCTCTTGTGTTAGATATAGCTGAACAAATCGAATACTCGAGCACACAAGTGGACTTAGGGAACTTATCGCTGCAACTATTTATGGAAAAAGATGCTCCCAATAAGTTATCTTCTCTGAAAAATAAGTCCCAAATGAGTTCCGTAAGTTCCCGAGCCCCCCTGAAGCCCCTACCCGCCGCGGCCCCTCGGGCTCGTCCTTGAATGGGTTGTGCAATGGAGGAGGGAGGAGGAATAGGAGGCGGAGTCGGAGGATCAAGAGAGTGAGAGTGATGATGATGATGATGATGATGATGATGATGCTGATGATGATGATGATGATGAGACGGACGAGGATGATCATGCTGAGGATGATGATGATGATCATGATGATGATAATGAGGATGGCGGTGATGATGACGGTGATGGTGATGGTGATGGTGATGTTGATGATTGGCGATGCTTTTTCCCGCCCTCAATTAGACTCCGAGCGTGGGTCGACCCACTCGGTCTCCACCTCGAGGGTGACCTTGAACGTGGCCCTCTTCGGGCGCCTGTAGTCGCACTGGTCCACGTCAGGAGATGGGGGCCCTCCTGAACCGTACATCTGCAGGAAGGCGGCCTTCAACCATGGGTTGGTCACGTCCTCGATGCACTTCCACTCCTGCTCGACCTTCTTGACCCGCTTCTCGGGCGGCTGGAAAATCTGGATCAGGTAGTAGCCGCCGCGCTCGGGCTTCTTGTCGGGTTCGGCGCGCGCGGCCTCTCTCGGCGGGCTCGGAGGCGGCCCCTCCGGAGTCCACGGGGCGGGCGTCTCGGCCTCGGACTCTGCCATGGCGCGAAGGGCCTCGCTCTCTGCCATGGCTCTCGTCGGCGGGGGAGTGCGCGGGGCGCTGGATGACATGGCGAGCGGGGGAGTGTGCGGGGCTTGGGATGATATCAGACCGCAGCTTTGGGCCACTGGCAAAGGTATGCACACATATATGGGGTCAGCACCGCTTCAGCGGGTGAGCCGCTGTGGCGAAACCAAAAGGGGCCACGATCCTCGTGAGGGGTGTGCCGAAATGGCCCGAGGCCGCCATGCCAACCCTGCCAATGAGGCCTTCGGTGGAGCTCCCTATGGGGCCACGGTCCTCGTGAGGGGTGCTCCGAAATGGCCCGAGGCCGCCATGCTAACCCTGCCACTGGGGCCTTCGGTGGAGCTCCCCACAGGGCCACGATCCTCGTGAGTGGTGTGCCGAAATGGCCCGAGGCCGCCATGCGAACCCTGCCACTGGGGCCTTCGGTGGAGCACCCCGCAGGGCCACGATCCGCGTGAGGGGTGTGCCGAAATGGCCCGAGGCCGCCATGCTAAACCCATTTTTTTGTTGTTGGTTTGCATTTTGCTTTTATGGTTCACGTTGGTTTTTTGTTTTTTTTTTTTGTTTTTGCTTTGCAGCTTTGTTGGGCTGCTGTGGCATGCGG